CAGATACATGTAAACTCAGTCGCAGCTACGCCAATATCATTAATCAAATTCAATACAGATAACATACCTATATCATCACATTCCACACATCAAATATTTTTCATATAGTCTAATTACCCAACAATTTAGCTTTCCTTTTCCTATTTATCCCTTTCTATATAATCCTGAAAGGATAATCTGGCCGAACCATTACCAACACATTTTTTTCCCTTCGTCGGCTCTTTTCACATCGACGCCTTATACAAAAATGTCTTTTCTATACCGACTTCCTTCCCCACCCCTTCAAAATCCAACGTATATAAACACAAAATAATAAAATCTCTCTGGCACTCTCGACACGACACGCAAGAATGACACAATTACACAGAAGACACTTTGAGTGAGTAGTAATACTTTGATTGAATATAAAAAATATATTTTGCATTGTATAAATTCACTTTTCCACATCCTAAATGTTTTGTTAAATGTAAACAATGTTTGTAAATCCCAGGCCCTGAAGATGATCTCAATAAAGATTGAAACGTTGCACGATAAAGAAAATGTTTTTCTAAACCTACGTCACACCACACCGCATCTCACGATCTCCAAATAATTATAATTACTGTACTTTCTCATAACAGGTTAACCTATGGTTTTACCGTCCAGTTAGAGTGCATTCAATGGAACCCAATACATTGGATGTTGATTGATATCTAATCCGCCTAGTTTCGCTGAGCGTTTAGTGTAGGGCTCCGTTGTAATGAATAATGAATTAATAAGTCAATTTTTTCCCAAAACAAACAAATTAATTCCAGAATTGTGTTTTGTAGCACAGCAGGAAATTTTAATCAGTAATACTATATCTTTCAACACTCAATAAAGATCGAAACATTGGCACGCTAAAGAAAGTGTTTTTCTGAAACCTACATCACACCAGACCGCATCTCACGATTCCTGAATAATTTATTTATTTAGTTGTATTCAATAATCTCAAAGAAATATGTCCGGACAATTTTACATTGACTACCATTATTGACTCGACGAACACCGTGTCTGACAGACAGCGACAAAAGGCTGCCTTGGTGAGATCAATATTGATCTACAACGATCGGTTGGCAACGGTTTAACGGTTACCTGGTGTAATTTCACTGTTCAATCACAACAATGGCACATAATTCATCCATACAATCGAGTAAAAAGTGAATGATTATTTGAAAATATCGGTGATTTTTTTAAATTGTAAACTATATTCGAGCACGAATAAATCTACCCGTACTGATTACAGAAATTGAATTATAAATGATTAAAAAATGTCCCTTTCTCAATTCTTTAATATATTGTTCTAAATTAAAAAAAAAATAATGTAAAGATTTCTGGTTTATTCATGAACACACCGTTTGTCCCATTTAATTTAGTAGGAAAAATATTGCACTCGCCCTTCCGACGTCTGGAGTCGTCTCAGTTCCGAATTTCCGATATTGCGGATAATTTTGACCGGTCAGATGAAAGGCACCGGTAGCCCGTGATTGTTCTTTAAGGAGGTCCGAGGACCGGACTTCTCCTAGGTGGCCCTCGGGCAATTTGCTGAGGACAGCAAGACCGCCTACTCATTACCTGAACAAACAAGATCGCCTGGGGACAGCAGCCGTCTGAATTATTGCCGCGTAGGTCGCGTGCTATGACCGTTGTTAAAGTAAAACAGACATAAAACATGTGAATTTGATGACGGAGACTATATTCTAAGTTCCCGATTTTCCTTGCTGCTTGGACTATAGCGTTTCGGCATTTTGCCGTCATCAATAGTGACAACCTAAATGAACTAAAACAACTATATATTATATAACTATATATTATGCTCGTAAAGGCATCTTCGAATGATAAATTAAATGAGTATCTGTTTAATAGCTGAAAATCTAACCTGAACTAAAACAGCGAACTTGTATTGGACTCATTTATCCGAAGTGCCAACAGCTTTGGAAAGGGTCGAAAAATTAAGCGGTACAGGTTTGTTTTTCGGCGAAAAAAAGGAGAAACAATCCATGGAGATAAATGTCTCTAATGGTCTCATTGATGAGGACTCACGGGCCTAGCTCCGGGTGCCGGGCGATAAGATCGCCACCGCTGGGCATAAACGTGACCCTTTTATCTATTTTATTGTTTCCAAGAGCGTTAACGTCTTCATTCCAAAAACGGCGCCAAGGCCTCGTTCCACACCTGTAAAAACAAATTGGTCCTGACAAAAAAAAAATAATTGTATATTTTCGGACAAATTCCATTCTAATGTTATGTACGGTTCTGGCTTTGAAAAATTGATTATTTAGTGTAAAAAAATGGTTAATAAAGTTAAGTTAAATAACGCATAAGTTTATGATGAAAAGTACATTCAGTTTGATTTTTACCTCTTAACATTGGGTTCTAAGAAGTTACTGTTTCAGAATTAAGGCCTTTGCTGTCTTTACTGTCATACTTAAGGCTAAGGGAATAATTTAATTAATTTTGGCCGCTGATACATCTCCCCAAAACTGTTTGTAAAGACGATCAGGTTGATACATTTTAATTAAAGAGTAATTTTCTATTGATTATCCGGCAATAGAATTTTAATTTGTTTTGAGATTTTCTAGGTTAAGCCATAGTTAAAGGTAAGGCCAAGATATTAGAATTTATTGTCGCTAGACAGATGAGATAGATAAATAAATAAAAAATATATTTGCATATAATAAATATACATTACTGAATAAATAATTTTTAACAACAATACAAAACTTATTTCACATGTTTCACCGTCTATCTGAGACACGATTTTTTTTATAGTACTGTGTGTGGTGATTGGTGACCATTAATCGATAATTATTCAGAAATCGTGAGATGCGGTCTGGTGTGATGTAGGTTTCACAAAATCATTTTCTTTATCGTGCCAACGTTTCGTTCTTTATTGAGATCATCTTCAGGGCTCAAAGTGTTTGTCTTCTGTGTAATTGTGCCATTCTTGCGTGTCGTGTTGAGAGTGGTAAATTTTTTATAGTACGTTAAATAAGAAACATTCATAAAAATGAGTGTTTAGATGCAAAAAACGCAGAGTCAAAAAATAAAAACGTGGCTATTAATAAAAAAGTTCTTAAACTAAATTTTTTAAGTTTATTTAAAATAACACAAGAAGTAGAGAAAAGCATAAAACATATATACTAAACACAGAACAAACAAAAATATACGTATAAGCAAAATGAAAAATAGATAACTATATTCAAAAAAAGAAAAACAAAGAAATGAAAATAGCTGTAAATACATAAATATGATATTAATATTTTATAAAAATAAACTTATACTACAACTAAATATGTACGTAGTTTGTTGTTATTTTGGTTACATTTACACAAACGAACACAAATATGAAAGTTGTCTTCTCTTAAATGTCTACTGTCCCCTGGTTCAATCTGCTGAGTTGCATATGCCAATTTGAAAGATCAGACAGTCAACACAAAAAAGAATTGTTAGACATTTGTCTCATAAGGGGAGAATAGAAAACTCCCTTTCAATCTTTGAAAAATACAATATTTTGCCACTACATTACCNGAGAGTGAGAGAGAGTTTTTAAGAACCAAAATATGGGGCGCTCATAAATTTCCAGAAGGCTTCAAGAAGTGCTTTAATTTTAAGAAAAGAAATTAAACAATGGATCTTCACGCAACCAAAATCTGATACTGAATTATACAATTAGCACAATTCCATCTACAATTTAACTAAGCTCTATTGATTCTTGTTTTACGTTCATTCGTTTTCATCTTTGTTTTCTTAATTTCAATTTATAAACCTAAAAATGCCACTTAGTGCTTAGGATTGTGCGTGGTGTGGCACTTAATGACGACGGATGTTCCATGAGATATGCGGCACCTATATAATATATATTTGAGAATTTTGCGAAACCGGCACCTTATTGTTCAAGCGATTCATCAGCTCCAGGAAGTTCGAGGTGTTAAAATTTATGAACGCACTGCTCGAAGAAGATTAAAACAGTACGGAGTGGTGGCTTTTCGCCCGTAAGAATACCAGAACACAATTGCATGGCACCCGAGAACACAGCCATTGGTCTTTGGATAATTGATTGCTGTGTTTTCTACAGACGGTTGTAGATTTGCTCTTCGATCTCCAGATAGGCGAGAAAGATTGTGTAGAAGGCGAAATGATGGTGTGCCGCACAGAGTTGGTTGTTGTTCGTGGAGGTTCTTTGACGGCCACTCGCTGTGTGGATGAAATTTTGGAAGATCATGCCTTGCCTATTCTCGATGCGACAATCCTATTCTAATGCACGATAATGCCATTCTACATGTCGCTCGCATAGTACAAACGTACCTTCAACAGCATAACATCAGGGTTTTTTTTTTTTTTTTTTTTTTTTTTTTTTTTTTTTTTTTTTTTTTTTTTTTTTTGGCGTTATGAACTATGCATATTAGCCATGTGACAATTCCTGTATGTGTGTTCAAATTTGGGGGGGTTATTGTGAAAAAAGGGCCAGAGGCGACGGTGGGAATCGAACCCACGACCGCGGCGTGAGAGTCTCTCATGCTAACCACTCGGCTACCGCGGTCCCCAGACTTGAACTCCATCGAACATTTATGGGATAACCTCAAAAGACGAATAAAACACTTCCTGATACACTCCACGACCTTGAAAGGCCTCTTCGTGAAGAAGGAGCTAACCTCCAGCCAAGAGGCATTTCCAGATTGGTAAAAAGTATGCCGAGACGCCTTCGAGATGTAATTAAGGCAAGAGGAGGAAATACGCGATATTGAAATGTTAATTAAAAATCTAATTAAAACAAATTTTATGTCCGTCTTTTTTTCCAATTTTCTTTAGCAGTTAAAAACCGTGAAACTTTTATTGATATATAAAAATATATGCAAACCAAGTTATATTACAAGGGGATGGAATTTTTTGTCTGTCACTCTATACTAAATGGATTAAAATTTGCCCAATAAATTAATAATCCTTAAAATAAATTAGAGAAAGAAGAATCCAAGTAGAAATGATCGATATATATTACATTATTTTACAAAGTAATTGAATCATTTATAGATGACTGTTCTAGACTAGTCCTGTATTCGAAAATGTTGTTCATTGATGTAATCTTCCAAGACCGACTTCGCTGCTTCATAGTTTCTGCTAACTGGCTTTTTTAAAGACTGTTCCGCCAACTTTCTTGTGCATGGTATCGGCTTCTTCAACCGGCGGTGAAAAAATCGGAAATTGTCCTTTGTTTTAGACTTGGTGGCGCATAATTTACAGCTGTTGTCGAGAACGAGCCATTCGAGATATTCGGAAAGTTCTGGGTGTGGATTGTAACAACCTCTGCAACCCATGGTCTTCCGCAGCTGGTACTTGAGATCGCTGAGTATTTCGTCGATGGCGGTTTGAGTCTTGTTCGCCTCGCCCGTGTTGACAAACTTAGAAGGTACTTCGTTTCTGCCGACCCCGAGCTGTTTTCTTATGGAATTCGCAGTACGATATATATCAGTGACGATGTTTTCCGCTTGGAGAGCGTATTGGTTCACTCCCTGCTCGAAACTCAGCTCATTCTCCGAGTCAGAAACTCCTTTGACTAATTGTCCCTGCCTCCTGGATCTATTGGCGTACAACTTGTCCCTAAGGGCTTTCATTTCGGCTAGGAATTTTTCATGATATGGTTTCATCAGTTCTTTTCTCGCCTTACGAGTTTCATCTTCTGTCAGTACATTTGAACTGTTCCTTGAAGATTCACGGACTTCCTCGAAACTGACGAAATAAGAGTTGTCGTCATTTCCCCTCTGCACTTCTATCTGAGGAGTTCCTTCATCGAGACCATCCCCTGCTTTAAAATTTTGGTTTAACTTTTCCAAGCCGGCTGGGTGGATTTTTGCATCTTGATTCACTACAAACACACCATAAAGGTAAAATGTCAAACAAAACAAATCTTTTAGTTTACCTGAATCTAAAAAATGATCTACATTTTTTATTGTTCCGCCGCTTTCCTGTAAAATTCCCTTTATAGGACCTGTAATCTATTAATCTAAATAGTTGTTAAATATAACAATTGCTTTTGTTCAAATATTTGACGTTATGCTGAGAAGTGGTACGACAAACTTACATCTCCGAGCACTAAAGCTATTAGCAATATCCAAACAGCGAATATTAAAACTAGCGATCCGAGGCGAATCATCACTTCCAAACAAATGTTCTTCCACTTCCGAGCCTTCGGAAAACCTATTTTTAAAACTGGTTCCTTCAAAAAAGAAATTTACGTTTTATTACCGGTAAACTCTTTGTTGCGTCTATGATCTAAAATTAAGTCCGCTGCTGTATAAACAGGCGAGATCCCAAGAAACGATGGTCCTTTGTGTTACGACAACTGAAAACAAGCCAGGTTATAGTTGCTGAAACTATGTAAATAGTATGTGTATCATATAATACATACGTGCCAGTTTATCTTCTGACATAAGTGGACTTTGAATTTTGAATATTATTACAAGGCCTTGTTAATGAATTTCTTGGTTTTTTCGCCTTCAATTAAAGATTCCCCTTTAAAATACATTATCATAATATTTTTGATGACGATTTACCTATATGTATATAAATCATTCAATATCCATAAAAAGGCAAAAACACAAAATATGGCTTTTAAATTCGATAATTTTTGGTTTTTAGAAGAGTATATGTCCCGTTTCTGCAAAACTGTAAATTCGTCAATGTTGAACATTTTTAGCCGTAGAAAAAAAAGAAACGGTGTCAATATTGTGTTATAACAACTATTTATAGAAGACTGTCAACATTTGTATGAATCTTCCTGTAAGGTGTTGGTTGAGATAAAAAAGTCAACGTCACGAGCGGGATTCGAACCCACGACTTTTGGCTAATTCGGCAGCTGCTCTACCACTTGAGTTACCGTGACTACGATCCACTCGGACACTAACTTCCTATCCCAACTCAACCTTTTGAATTTTCCCTCCTTTTTGCCATTTTTCAAATGTGTAATCTATTTGATTCTCAGCGACAAATGATGACAGATGAACTTTAGTGAAGATATACTTCATTCAACTTATTAAGTTCATTAGATTTGGTGGTCCGATTTTTATATCAACCAATACCTAACATAAAGATTAATTAGTTGAAAGATATTATTTGGTCAATCGGACCACGAAATCTAATGTATGAATATTTATTCGACTAATGAACAAAGTCCTGGAATGTTAATTATTAACTTAATTATATTACTTCTTTGTTTTTTAATTTTTTTGTCAGAAAATAAGAAAAGAAAAGAATAAACGTCGATAAGTTTATATTTGTTGTCAATTTTCACATCAAAACCCATTAGTTTATAAACATGTAGTTAAATAGACCAAAAATGTAAAATTCCATAAGGTATTGTAATAAGGTGTGATTACATGTTATTCAAGTAAATAAAGCATGTATTTTTTTGGTTATGTTTATGTTTATCTCTATTAAATTCAGATTGTAATGAATATGAAAACACATGAAGTTACTCACGGAGGTTACGCGCAGGGTTTAACAAACACTAAAAACATGTGTATGCAAATCCAAAATGGACTTTGTTATATATAACACTAGTTTAAATTCGAATACACTGACTAGAGACTACTAAAAGTAAAAAAAACTCACAACGTTTCACGATTAACACATGTTTAATTGAGAAATCTGTACAACGATATGTCTAAAACATCAAATGTAATTTCCGACCTGGACTAAGAAGCAAATCATGTGTTCGCCAGCGTCTATGATCTTGCGAAATCCAAAGAATGATTGTAAAGGAGATTCAACTGGGGAGAATTTAATGTGGCACGTGTGCTAGTGCCACAATCCGGCACGAGCTTCGAGATCACAGTTGGCCAGCGGGGGTGAACATCTGTAAGGGTAGCAGGGTGCACCCTTTACCCCCGCCGCCTTTTTTTCACCCGTTTATTTGTCTCGGACGTTTTATCCCCGATGTACAAAGGAACTGCTGCAGGTGATCATTAAGGCCAGTCTATGAGTCTTTTAAAAAGGATCAATAATTGTTGAGATTGTTATGCGTAAGGAATGTTTGCCGGTGTGCCGTAGATTTTCGGTTACAGGCATTTTTCCGGCCTGGGCGTGTGAAACAATCTGCAAATTAGAACAGGAAGTAACTCTGTCAGACACGAAAGGCGATCTAACGAGAATATGATTAGTGCCACTTGTGGAAAAACTGTCAAGTGGTTTACGTTTTTGCCTTCAAATACGTGTGGGTACCACGTTCGCTATCACGGCGCTTTTTTTTTTGAAAATTGTATATGAGAGGAACCGTAGACTGGGGTAATTGGTGCTCTCGGTAGATAGGCAGCGCACAGTGGGGCAAAGACGGCAAAAAATCGATTTCCTAAAGGCTGAACTTTTGTTAACCCAGTTCTCGTACAGTATTTGAGATTGGCTGTAATGATTTTACGTTAAAAATTGATAGAAACCAATAATCACTGCTGAAACCTGAAAATTATACATTTTGGAATATGTTCTGAACATTAACCCCCCCCCACCCAACGGTTCCTTGTAAAAACTCGTTCAGCCTAATTTCCTTTTATGCACACACCCATGTATGAAATAAAGACAAAAAATCAACGTAGGGATGGAATTAGGTGGGTTGGTTGAGGGAAAACTAGCAATATTCGGTTTTATAAACGTTCAAAGAAAACTTCGTTGTTCTTTGCTTTGGCACCGTTTTGTTCCCGCGTGAAGTTCCCCGCAGACCACAGTTTAGAACAGCACAATCGAAAACATCAGATCTTGCCCTATACTTAATTCGTACGAAGTTAAAATACTACTGGTATCAGTCAACTGTGGTTTACAGACAACTGGTGATACTGTGTCTAGTATAGTGATTGCTCTTGATTGCTGTAGTTTTCAGGGCTCACTTTGTACTATTTTTTGTAAAAAGTTACTTTACACCTTGTTCGGCAGGACTGACTAGTACACCCCTGAGACGGATCAGAGAATTACAACTATAAAACTACAAGTACTACATGTCCCGCGTACAGAAAATCTCACAATCTGCAGTGCATTCTTGTCCTAATGTATCGAGGAACTCGCACAGATGTTTCTTCTATGGCACCTCTATCTGCCTGCAGTTTGATTGGGGTTCTTCTGTCTCTTTCCAAGATCAGTACACCCTCTCAATGTCCTTTGAGTCTGCAAAGTCTCAAGAAATCTGTCGAAATTCTGAGTATGGTGCATGATTTCTGTTCTTACACATCTCTCAAAGAGTTTATTGGCTTACTACACTTTGGTCTTAGCCAAAAGGCAGAGAAACGATGGTTCATTGGCTCACTGTGTCCCGTGAGGTAATCCCATTGCTACCTTATTCTAAATCTGAGAAATTGGATAATAGTTACAATTCCAATCCCGCCAATGGCTCCTGGTTATTATGGACTATCAAGGTATACACCATGAGCTTGCTTTGACCTTCATATACGAGCACTACGATCTACTATCCTTCTGCACATAATAAACACTTCTTTTTACTAGTACCAATTTCTTATTTGAATGTCAGTGTGTAATCTAGTATGACTCCTGGATGATATATTTCGAGTAAATGACTGTTTCATTCATCCTGATGTTCGTCATGATGATCATTTACCTACAGTTGAATATTAAAAATACACTTCCTCATCTGAAATAATAATCAGACTTTCTTGTTCAACGGCGAGTAGTCAAATGAACAAAACTTGACCCAAGCTACTTTCACTTTTTCGTTTTCAAAAATTTTCCATGGAACAGAATACATACGTCCAAAAGAGTAGTAAAATAAAATACAGGTTAATTTGAACCGAATCTGAATCATACTTAATGTAGCAGTTCTGAAGAATAAGATTCCTCTGGTCAGCAAAATAGACAGTCTTTGTCACAAAAGACTGATTACCCGTTGTGACTTTGAAGAGTACAGGAAGGAAATCGGGCAAATTATAGACTTGGCTAATTAAATATTTAGATAGATTAAAGCAAGGTTGACACGAGAAATCGTGTGATGTTAGATCATTGAAATCTGTCCTATTATATCAAACAAAAAATTCTTTACGGTCTTTTGTGATAGCTAATCGCCACAGAATCCGGCAGGAGAAATAGTTTAGCCTATTAGATAAAAAAGAAGCCGAAATTAGATATTTCTAAGGATCACGTGTCTTATTGGCAGCCGATAATTTCCAGCACCTTTGGGCAAGGATCTGTCACAAATTGCCCATGCTTCCTCCTAATTTGCTGATTAATTCATGAGCATCGGCCGAGTTGAAAGCGAGCGTGATCTGGCTCCATCTTTGAGGGGCTTATTAGCGAAACCGTTTTCCTATTCAGGTGTCAGCTCCATCCGGCCTTCGATTTTCGAAAAAATGACTCCTCGCCCCGGTTGTCATATCGGGTTATGTAACAATATGGGCCGCGCCTAAGGCCATATCGGTTGATGATGATGATATTTCTCGAAAAAGCTACTTACTCTGTGGGGTATTAATTAAGAAAGCTTTGTGTCGATATTGTTTGAGTTAGGACTAGTGTTGCTTAAAAAAAAAGTGTCGATACTTAAGAAGTATTCGAAATGTGTATTATGTGAAGTTTTCGACTGCTTCGACCAACTGCGTCAGATTTTTTTATTGTTTGTAATCAGGATGTGGCAAAAATTACATTATTTCCTAGCTTTTAGCATTTACTAAGCATTCTTTAAAGTTGTACAAGCACAACTAGTATTTAATAAACAATTAAGTCTAAAAATAATTTAATTATATTGATAAGTTAAAGAAGATTTTTAAAAAACTTTTTAAATAAAATATTTACACAAAACGTTTCATTCTACATTGATATTACAAGATATAATAGTGTTCTCAGGTTCTTGCCTACACTTTTAAAAATCAAACGCATATTGTTTTAATCCAGTATTTATGTAAGATCATTAATTCATGGTAGGCCCACAAACTCGTCTAATCGAGAACATTTCATAATTATGAATGAGATTCAATATATCTCCTGTCCTCCTCAGTTCATCTAGGCATTTTCCCTTGAAGAACATTATTTAACCAAAACTTACAGTATGATTACGTATATTTCAACATCCAAAAAAAAAAAAATTGTGTACTGAATTTTAATAATCATTTTACCACGTATAGGGACATATTTACCATAAAATGGACTGTGGAATGGAATCTAGTTTTTTGTACTCATATAAGCCCTATAAATATTTAATAATTTTTGAAATATATAATTATTCATCTATATAATAATTCATGCAATGATTATTCGGGGATCGTGACATGAGGTCTGGTGTGACGATGTTTTAGACAAACATTTTCTTTATCGTGCCAACGTTTCGAACTTTATTGAGATCATCTTCAGGCCCTGAGATTTACAAACATTGTGTACAAATCCCAGCCCCTGAAGATGATCTCAATAAAGATCGAAACGTTGCACGATAAAGAAAATGTTTTTCTAAACCTACGTCACACCAGACCGCATCTCACCATCTCGGAATAATCATCAACTAACGGTCACTAATCACCACACAATTCATACAATATTGAATTTTATCCAGCATGGAAGAAGGCTAAAAGTAAATCTTGGCGATTCTTAATTCTATTAATTATGCACAACCTATTTTTACCCCGCTGTCGCTCGCAAATGTAAATTTGATATTGTTAGTAATTAACCTGTTATAACTATTATACATTAATTTGATTTAAAGTTAAATAAGAATGATTTTACGGTAGGAAACAGTTCGACAACAATGGAATTTTTCTCTCGAAGCACTTCAAAGTCCTTCTTCCGGTGGGCCTGAGAAATTATTCTGCTGATTTTTGTTTCAGCGACGTTCAGAAAGGCCGCATGGTGGCAAAAAGCGACAATTTGTTAATGGGACAATTTGGGCCAGGTAGTGAGAGATCGTTAAAGGCGCCTCTCGTGTTCTAAATCGACTTTTCTGGGCCAGATTTTTGTCATTCGGGGTTTCCGATTCTCGTTGAGGCCTATGGCTTCACTCACACCTTTTTTTCCAACTTCTTTTCTCTGCAGATAAGATCTAAAGTGTAAGAAGTTTCTTACTAATTTTCAAGTTGTTAGTTTGCAGCATTGCAGAATTTTGTGAGTAATTGTAAACGATAGAATTTTACTTTAAGTTATATGTTTTCTGTTCCTTTTTCACCACAAAATGAAATTACCATTTATTTTACTTTCCAGCGCACACAAGCACAATTCAAACACTAACAAGCTAAGCTTAAGAACTAGGATAAAAGAGACACATTTGTCCAGATGATTTGAACAATGGTCATACAAATTCGTTACTTAAACATCTGACTTGTAAAAAATGTAATTTTTTGATCGTGAAAATGTTCCTTTTGAATGGGATCACGTATCGTCAAGATTTCCAAGAGTTACATCATTTTTTAAGTCGTGTTCACTACACTCCCTGGGAATTTGACAAAGCTGTTTAAAAAATTCTGTAGTTATTTCTTTGCAATAATGGATGGATACAATGTTTGCGATGAAAACCACGTTTAACCAAGAAAGAACAGGGTGCATTTTACCTGACATAGTTTAAAATAATGCCGAACCTATCATCACCTGATTTTTAAACCATTTGGAGAACCTGTTGCTACAGATTGAAGTTCAGAAATGGTTTTTTAGCCATTCCGTAAGTACTAAGTATTCTTAATTTATGCTTTTAGTAATGAATTTGAAATGTTTAAAATAATAGTAGGTTCTGATTGTTCAAATCATCAAGGTGAATAAATCTTAGTAAGGTAGGAGTTCATAGTAACTGTTATTATTCGTAGTAAGTAGCTGAGTACTTCAGATGCTTTCAGAGGCATTTGAATGTACTACTTTTCTTTTTTTGTGTTTGTATCGATGGAGAGTTGATTAGTAGTTGGGTTTCTCTTAGGATTCATTGTTTGATGGATTCCTCTTTGAAAGGTTATGAAATAAAATGAAGTTGTGAGGGCCATTTGGAAATGCTGAAACTGTACGTTATTGTTCGATTACAATTAAAAAAAACAGGGGTGTTTGTTAGGAGTCTTCACACCGATTTCCTTCATGTGTCTATTTCGTAAGAACGGAACAAAGAGTGTTTGAAAAAGACCAGTTTGTAGATGGGTTCCGTGCCAAATTGACCCGGTGGTCACTGGGTCACTAGCCCTGTTAACAAGATATTGGCCGTCGGCCGTGTCGAATCACTTGGGAATCGTGTTTACACTTTAAAAACGCCGACAGCCATGGCCGGGCTACGAGATAATTTGTCGGGCGCCGTTTCTTGTTTTGCCATTGTTACCACCTTGCGGACGGAAAATGCAAACAGATAGACTTTGTCGGTGAAATTAGCGGATTTTTTTCACATCAGGAGAAATCCGCCCTTAATGTATCGCTCCCATCGGAAAGATTGAAGGTTTGCACTTTGATGAACGAAATATACCGAAAATACAATATAGCAAATAATAGTCAGAGGTGGGACGTCTTTGGCCGCAACGGTTTCGGCGTTGACATTGCGCTCAGCACTGTAAGGTAAAGGTCCCATGTTCGAATCCAGCGGCCCTGAATTCGAACCCGACATCCTTACAATTTTTTTTTTTTTCAAAAACACCGACACCCTGAGGGTTTACATGATCTCTGCTGTTTGCAAACCATCGTAATAAAAAAAATCCGTTGCCGGAAGAAATGTCGTTCGATTTAGTAAAAATTGTTTGTGAAGTATTGAAGCTTACATCGCTGTCATCAATGGTGGTTTTCCTATGACAAAATGTTTTAGAATTTATTTTAAAACGACCAAATTACAGATTTATCACTTGACTTCAAAGGACAATCTTACAAAGTTTAGTTAGACAAAGACCTGTATCTCGACAGTTGTAAAAAAAAAAAATACGATAATTGTTTATTTTTTCAGTAAAATGGAAACGAGACGGCTTTATCTATACAATTTCCAAAATTCTGAGACAATGGATATTGTAATATCTATAGCTGACTTAGAATTATATTCCTTATTATTATATTCTGCTTGTCTGTCGGTTGAAAATTGAGGTTTATCTAGGGGTTATCGATAATGTTGGTAAAGAGGTGTAAAATTGAATATAAAATCATTAAAATTCATTATGCCTTTTATTTCATTTATTCGACTGTAATATAAAGCCAGTTACTCGGTAGCACAAAAAGCAATCAACTGGATGAAGCAGTTTCTAAAATTTTGTATGAAAAAGTACGATTTGCAGTAGTTCAAATATATAAAATACACTTTTATTTTCAATATTTTATTTGAGGCATGTTTGAAAGTCAAATAACGATTAATTTTCTGTTATTCACTCTCTAAAAGCGTGTTCATTTGGCGGTTGTCTTGCTGGTTGGATTTTTTGTTAAATTCGTCTTGCTGATGGTCTTGCTGAAATCGCTTTTCGATTTGAGGAGCCTCGAGGGCAACCCACTGTTCACTTTGGAGGCGACGGGCTTCTTAGCGTTTTTGGAAATCGACGGTTTTTCTTGTCCCGCCGCGAAACTTTTAGCCTTAGAAGGGATGGGTTCTATATCACGGAGGATTTTGAGTACGTCCTCTTTTTTGAAATTATCTACCGATTGTCTTAAAGCTCTGTTGGTCCTCACTGGTGGAAGAGGGCTGCGGTCCGGTTTTTTAACTTCGGTTTTTGACACTTTCTTTCCCGCAAATCCTTTTATCGTTGTGTCCGAACATAATTTGCTCGGTGGCTTATTATTGAATCGTTTTTTGAAAGCAGCGGCACCTTCTCCGTCCAACCAATCCGCCACCGCCTGCTTCGTTTTGAAAAGTTGGTCTTCCTCTTGTTGCAACTCCGTATTGTCTAGGATCTTCTTCATCTCGGCGATTTTCTTCCTCACGTCCGTATTTCTTGACATGAAAGATTTCCTAGCCGATTTGAGTGTTTTAATCTTCTCTGAATGAGATTTTCCTGTACTGATTTTGTCCATTGTTTTCGTAAGGGCGTCCATATCTAAATCAGAACCGGCATCCGATTCGCTTTCGGAAGAATCGAACCTGTCGAAGAAGTTCTGGCTTTTCATACGCCTCAACTGATCCTTGTAATCGAACCTTTTCAATATAGCCTCTTTGTTCTTCCTGTTCTGTGCGATTTCCTCTTCATTGGCCTTACCGTTCTTCAGATTACCAATCAATATCTTTTCCTGAAAAAGGGAACGAATTAATTAATTTATTTGGATTATCTCATTTTAAAGTTTTTTATGAGATATTCACTTCTGCTCTCATTTTCTTCAGGTACTCTCCAATACGTGAGGTCATCTGTTCGGGTTCTTCATCATCAGATTTTTTCGCATAAAGGCTATCCCTTAATTTTTTGTCGTACAGGTTCAAAAGCTCGTCCTCTTCGCTACTTTTTAGTTCGACGTCTGAATCTGTAAACGACGACACATAATAAAAATACAGTTTGCATAGATTATAAAAATAAGCGGAGGTTTTGTGTAAGGTAACATAAATTGATTATTACCTAGCAAGAATTCTTTTGCGGTAAAATCGTTTCTCCCGCCCCACGTCTTCATTTTATTATGAATTTCTGGTGGATTATTGATTTGCAATAGAAGTATAAATAAATAATATCAAATAAATATTTTTTTCTAACAAAAAACACTTAGTAACAAATCACATGATCCGTGGTGAAATCATACGTCAATTTCTTGTAAATATCAAGGGCATAAAACATCTAATTAAATTTGTTTTCCTGAAAGATTCTATGTACTGTTCAAAAATCTTTAAAAATATTTGTAATAGAAAATAGCAATAGCACAAATGTCATCTAACTAGTCATAGCCATGTGTTTTTATAGAACATAGTGTAATATTGTTTATAATTAATTTTTTTCTTCTTGTTTATTAAAGGAACAAGGCAATAACAAATAAATTACTCTGAATTTGCATATTTTTTCTTGTAATACACTTTACCAGGCGGACGAAACATCATTTTTTTTATCTCGTGAAGGCTTACTTTTCTCTTCGTCATTCCCAGAAGATGAGAATTGCAAGGGGCTCCCTTTGATGTAGATGTCGTCGTCTTCAGATGAAGGTGAGCTCTCTTCGAAAAAGTCGTCGTCGAGGTCGGCATAGACGGTTTTCATCTCTGCACTACCCGATCTCTCTGCTTGGGGGCCTTTAACTTCTTCCGTGGCTTCAACAGTCGACATGTTTGGATTTACACAAATCGAAACACAATTTGATCTAAAAAAATGATGAAAAGATAGTATGTTGCGAAGAATGGATTATAAAAAAAGTTATGTTAAGCTTGATAAACACTGCTTGGGGATATATTCGGGCAATACTTGGAAATTATTTGCTTCCAATTCAATTATATTTCAAAGAAAATGCTTAAAACTTAATTATTCAACAATCCAATTATGCCGGATGATACTAAAGATCAAGTGGTGAGAGGTGAAATTAAAATCTCATCAAATCTGAATAGTATTAGCAATCTGAATAGAGAATTATTTTATAAGCAAAAGGAAAAAAGATTTTGCCATAATGTTGATTATTATGAAATTATGTTGATATTGACATATGCATACTCTTTTTCCGCTGGCCAACATATCATTTACATAATTTATTTTGCTAAATTAATTTAATGCCAATTTGTTGTTTATGCAAGACATTTTTAATATGTTTTGAAGCATGTAAAACACTTTAAAACTTGGTCATTTATAGAATAAAATAAATTAAACAGCTTTGTTCAATCTATCAAAAAATAATATTTCGCATTATTTTTCTTTAAAGCGTGTGTGGTGATTAGTGACCGTTAGTCGATTATTATTCAGAAATCGTGAGATGAGGTCTGGTGTGATGTAGGTTTCAGAAAAACATTTTCTTTATCGTGCCAACGTTTCGATCTTTATTGAGATCATCCTCAGGGCTTGGGATTTACAAACATAGTTTAAATTTAACTAGAACATGTAGGATGTGGAAAAGTGAATTTATACAATGCAAAAAAATATTTTTTTATATTCAATCAAGGCATTTCTACTCACTCAAAGTGTTTTTTTTTCTGCGTCAATAAGTGAATTTATACAATGCAAAAAAAAAATTTTATATTCAATCAAAGTATTTCTACCCACTCAGTGTTTGTTTTCTGCGTAAAAAAGTGAATTTATACAATGCAAAAAAATATTTTTTATATTCAATCAAAGTATTTCTACTCACTCAAAGTGTTTGTTTTCTGTGTCAAAAAGTGAATTTATACTACGGAAAAAAATATTTTTTTATATTCAATCAAAGTATTTTTTTGCATTGTGTAAATTCACTTTTTTCCACATTGTAATGTTTTTGTTAAATCCCAGGCCCTGAAGATGATCTCAATAAAGATCGAAACGTTGGCGCGATAAAGAAAATGTTTTTCTTAAACCTACGTCACACCAAACCGCATCTCACGATTTCTTAAAAGCGTACTAATGTGGAGCGATCCCTGCTGCCCCCTTTATCGATCTCAACTTTTACCAGGAAAAAAACGATTCACTACTACCAAATAAAATGAATTTTTCTATTACTAATTAACTTATAGTATTTAAAATAATAATTTATTTACCAAAGTATTTCATCTGAAACATTTTTGTAATATTTAAGCATAAATTTATCGTCTTTTTATCAATAACGAAGTTATTTAGGAAATATTTGTAATCTTATCAATGTTAAATTCTTTACATTATTGAAAAATCATTTAATATCATAGTAATTAGGCCATTGATTACCTAGTTTTACAAAGAGATCCGCTTCGTTGAACGCACGTGTCGTGACTGGGGCAAAACTGGTCCATATCGCCATGGGGACGTGTAAACAGAGGTGAGCCGTTGCCTGGTTCCTTCTTTGATTATCAACCTGTTCCACTAAACTGTCTAAGATTCGAGCAAGCGTAGATAACAAACATAGAGGCCAAGTTAACGTATCAAATGTTCTGATTTTGATCACAATTGGCCTTGATCTTTTCATGATCAAGGCCAGCTTATTGTCGCGGTACCGGTCCGAATCTCTACGACCTAGACTCTTGGGTCTGGCACGCAGGGAGAGGTTGCTCAATGTGTCCCTCGTAATTTAAGAGAGTCATTCTTAGCTCCATAAAGGGAGCGAGTAGGAATGTCCCCGATATCAGAATTGAGCATGAGCACGGCAATTTTTCGATCCTCTATTCCGATTTCTGCAGGAAACTGGGGTAATTCTGTATATATAGATCTTTTGTTTATTACAGGTAATCCTATTACTCATAGAGGTTTTAACTGTTTGAACGTATGTGCAGTACAAGAGAGTCGATGGCGGAATATCAAGTACACCATCAATCCTCAACCAGACTAGGTAGGTATGTACTGTTGTAAGTATAGTGGTCTACGCTTGATGAATGGTGATGAGAAAATATCCAGTACTCCATCCTTAATGAGTGACAGGTATTTAAATAAGAGGGAAAGTATTTAAGAATGAGTGATAGAGTGAGTGTGTTTAGGTTAAAACTGCATGCGTTGGGGCTGAAATCATTGTCGATAACCCTTGATGACTGTGGCACTGATAAGACCATCTTAACTAAAATAAAATAGAAGATAGATTATATATAGAATAGATATATAGAAAGATTTAGAGATAGAAGAACCAAGATAAGATCGAACCGGTTCACCAAAACACCGAAAAGGGTGATTCTAGCAGCTTGCTGCGATAAGATACAGGTACACAAGTGCATATATAGGCAGAATTAGCTTACATAAATTTAAGAAAAAGTAGCTCTAAAGCACTTTATAGTTGTGATCTGCATTATGTATTGACATAAAAAGAATGCTAACATTGTACGTAAATAAGCTAGATAAAATATAATATGATTATACCAAATATTAATATTTATTTAGAAATCGTGAGATGCGGTCTGGTGTGATGTAGGTTTCAGAAAAACATTTTGTTTATCGTGCCAACGTTTCGATCTTTATTGAGATCATCTTCAGGGCCTGGGATTCAAAAAACAATGTTTACATTTAACAAATACATGTAGGATGTGGAAAAAAGTGAATTTATACAATGCAAAATATATTTTTTATATATTCAATCAAAGTATTTCTACTTACTCAAAGTGTTTGTCCTCTGTGTAATTGTGCCATTCTTGCGTGTCGTGAGAGTGCCAGTGAGATTTTCTGTTTATATACGTTGGATTTTGAAGGGGTGGGGAAGGATGTCGGTATAGAAAACACATTTTTGTATAAGGCGTCGACTTCTTTGAGGTGAAAAAATATGTTGGTAATAGTTCGGCCAGATTATCCTTTCAGGATTATATAGAAAGGGATAAAGAGGAAAAGGAAAGCTAAATTGTTGGGAAATTAGACTATGTGAAAAATATTTGATGTGTGGAATGTGATGATGTAGGTATGTTATCTGTATTGAATTTGATTAATGGTATTGGCGTAGCTGCGATTGAGTTTACATGTATCTGTTCTGTAATTGATGCTGTGTTTATCTCTGTTGATATAAACCATTTCTAAGAAATTACGTTTAGGTTTGTTTTGTTCTGTAATTAATGCTGTGTTTATCTCTGTTGATATAAACCATTTCTAAGAAATTAGTTTATGTTTGTTTTGTTCTGTGTGTAATACTTTTGGATTGTTGAAGTCGAAATTGTGTTGGTGTTCAAGATGGTGGGTAGCGAGTGCTGTAGGATTTTGCTTGGGTTTTTTGCAATCATAGATATGTTGCTTTACTCTCTTGTCCAGATATTGGGATGTAAAACCGATGTAAGTTGCCGGATAGTTTAAACAGTTGATCTTGTAGATTACGTCAGATTTATTTGTTATTAGTGTGGGATCTTTAATTTTGGAAAAAAGTGTTTGAATTGTTTTATAATTTTTGAAAGCTATTTTGAAGTTATCGGACAAGAGAAATGTGTTTAATTTATGTGATAGGCCTTGGATAAATGGTATGGAAATGTATGCTGGTTTGTTTGTATTCGATAGACTTAATGTAGTATTATTACTAATAGTGTTGAGGTGTTAGTGTTGATTATTCTGTTAATTATGTGTTTAGGGTAGAGATTGTTATGGAGGATCTGTTTGTATATCTTTATGTTTTTGTGGTGGAAGGATTCATGGCTTAAGGTAATCATTCTGTGAAGTAAATATTAATGCTGAAATAATTGTCTTAATTTAGTTCTTCAGGTAGTCCATGTATGCATTATTGATAATAGTACTCATTTGACCGTTATATAGTTACCGTTTTACCTTTTTTTTAAGGAAAAATGTAGTACAGAGAGATATGTGAATTCTCATCTCTCGGTAAATACCCTGAGGCATGAATAAAGATGGGTATTTACCAATGGGTAAGGCTTCTTTATTATAAAACGTTTTTTTAACGTGTAATTTTCTCGTTTGGAAGTAGCACACTTCCTCCTGGTAGGGCTGAATTATTTAATGAAACGAAAGCATTATTCTACACGAAGGATTCTTAAAGTGAAACCTAATCTCAAAGATTCGATGACTTTTTAAATCCTACCTTAGACAAATATCTTCAGGGCCTTTACCAATTTAGTCCTTCGATGTGAAAAATGCCTTAAGCATCCTAGTGGCGTTCTTGTATTTAATTTACATTTATGATTTCTTGTCATCTGAAAACCCGACCCTGGAAGACAGATGACGTACAAAGACCACCTTTTTCATTAGTTGACAAAGAGGTCCTACCATCTAAACTCATGTTTGAGTTCACATCAATACCTTCGAATCAATTATGTTCATATAAGACATGATAATTATTCCAAACACCTCAGCATGACTATTCCCAATAGCTCTGTCGTCCGCTACCTTGGTATTTCTATCATAGCATGCCATCTCTCCGTGTAACAAGCTTTATCCCCGTCAGGATAAACTTTGAACCTTCCTGGGTAGCTAAGGATTCCATCAAACATTATAAATAAAAGCTGTTACTGCCACCAACATATTTGACGAACTAGAGAGGAAAACCTCCAGGATGAATGTCAAAAAGAAAGCACATAAAACCACTGCTGGAAGGTTATTATCCCACAAATAAAATCTAAACAAGTTCCACAGTCTTCAGTAATAGCTACACTTTAGACGAAGCTGTATTCTTCTTATTTGTGAACCTTTGGAAGCTGATGCTTCCACACACTTGCACAAGAAACAAATATCCTAGCACTTTAAGAAGTGTTTTATATCTGCTCACTATTCAAATGCCAAGTCAACAATGACCCTTTGAATGAATGTGAAATCTTTTTGACGTCTACGGGGTGATGGACCGGCTGTCTTAGCTAAGACATGTGGTTGTAAAATCGAACACCCAAACTTCTATTATTATTTCAGAAATTTACCCAATGAACTACAAGGATCTCTGAGGAACGTTCTACTTCTGATTACCTGCAACTCAGATCAGCTTCAGCTGCTCGTCATGGTAACGGCGTAATGACATCTAACATCATGATATGAACAGTTCCAGTTGCAGATGTTATAAAGAGGTATTTTGGGATGTGAAGGGTTTATTAACCAAGAACCATAAATTTAGACTAACAATAGAATAATTATCTAAGATTATATACATATATAACGTTCGCCATTCAGTTAACCATCTAACTGATACTGCCATAGTTTGGCCTGACTCAGCAGAGACAGAAAGTCTCGTCTATCTTCCGCTTGACTTATCTATCCTCCTAAGGTCCTTCCTTCACTCATCCACTACCTCAGCCTAAGTCTTCGCATCAATCTATCATCACCTAGCTGACCATTCATCTTCCTCGGTAGCTTCTCAATTGGCCTTCTCTTCAGTGGAGAACTGAGGAACATGGTTTTTGATGGTGGCTACTACGTAGCTTCGCCAAAGAGCTATTTGAACTTGGATACGCCAATAATCATGAATCATCGTCTGAGGACTTTTCCGCAAACCTCCGGAATCATCTCACCCTGTTATATAACTATACAGAAATATAACTCAACACTCGATCCCGTGCGTCACCTTGCATAGTCTAGCAAAATTAATTTTTGCCGCCTGCAAATATTTTTGTCATTTAATGTATTATACAATCTTTAGACCAAAAGCAGCAATGGCAAAAGGTGTTCATCAGACCTTTCTTGCTCTACGTAAATTAATATTATTATGTAGAAATATGTGGTGATTAGTGACCGACCGTTAGTCGATGATTATTCACAAATCGTGAGATGCGGTTTGGTGTGATGTAGATTTAAGAAAAGCATTTTCTTTATTGTGCCAACGTTTCGATCTTTATTGAGATCATCTTCAGGGCCTGGGATTTCAAACATTGTTTAAATTTAACAAATAGAAATTGAATTTATACAATGCAAAAAATATTTTTCATATTCAATCAAAGTATTTCTTCTCACTCAGTGTTTGACTCGCAGTAAGGAAATAACAAAAAACCAGACCGCACCTCACAATTTCTGAATAATTATTATTTAGTAATTAGTACATTTTGACTTAGCCAAGTAGTAAAGTAATTGATCCTTGATCACACAGTGTACTAAATTTTGTCTCTGTGCTTGATTATAACAAGAGTTAGTTTTAACTTACGCCCGTCATTACCGGAGGTAAGTAGGTAGGACAAAAGGGTAACGTTTTACCTGTCGGAGCCGAATTAGCCAAATTCCCTTCATCCTGTCATCTCCGGATAACGAGATGACGACGGTCGGCCATACTTGAAAGCTCGGCTCGCGTGACCGAATTCGCACGTTTCGAAACCCCATGGGACGGCTTTACACGAAAAAATAGCTTCCTCGTATGGACTATAAAAAGTATTGTGCATCTGCAATGGTAATAAAAAGAAAAAGGAAAACCCTCAGGACAATATCGACTAGTATTTTTTCAGTAAAAACTGTTTTTGAAAATGAAAAACTGGTCTTATAGGTTTATTTTCATTGTGAATTTTGACCGTGCCGTATAACTATTGGGGGTTTCGGGTTCATTGGTATTAGTTTTTTTAACTGCATATTGACCGTTTGAGAATAAAAAGTCGCAAATTTTTATGGCTGTTTGAACTCTATTTTTTAATTTTAAGGGGAATCTATTTTTATTTCTTTAACATCGATATTGTTTAGAAACTTTAACTTTACTATTTTCTTTATCAAATTTTAAAATAAGGTTGCTGTTACTTTTTAACTTTTATTAGACCTAATTATACGTTGGATATTTAATTTTTTGACGTTTAGATTGATCAAGTTTTGTTAATTAATTCAGCACAATTATATTTATATTTATTTTACAACAATCTTCCGATGGAACAAAAGTTAGTGGGTTTTTGTATCTAATTCTGTTTTATTTTTGTTTTTTGGTACGAATTTTGAGCCTTTATTTAATAAATAAATTAAAGGGACGTCGGTGGCCGCAATGGTTTAGGCGTTGACACGGCGCTCATCCCTGCAAGGTAGAGGACCCGGGTTCGAATCCAGCGTCCCTGCATTCGAACCCGACCCCGACTACTTACATACAAATGGGCTTTTTTTTAAAAACATCGTCACCCTGAGGGTTTATATGACCTCTGCTGTTGCGAACCCTCTTAAAAAAAAATTTATATCATGGTTTAATTATTATCTATTACATAATCTGTATTTTCTTGTTTTGGCGAAAGCCATTAATAAAGATATTATACTAATAAGACTATGTAGGGTCAGCAGAAATGCTAGCGAATTCAGCAATATAGATTTTACAAAAATGTTATACTTTTCTTTTGTGAGATCTTCCTCGAATTTAATTCACCAATCTAGTCACCTTATTATTTAAAATATATAAATAAAATTATAAAAAATTGAGAATAGTCTGTTAAAATACTTAGCTTATAGATCATTTATAAAACCTGAAACGTAAATTTTCGTTTTCTATTACTTAATCTGTATTTTCTTGGAGAAAATCGTTAATAAAGATATCATTATTATTATTATTTCATTATTATATTTATTATAATAAAGCGCTACGTACGATCGAACGTAGTCAAGTGTCAGAATAAGACCGGTCTGGGCAGTAAGGCCCATTAGCTCAGTTGGTTAGAGCGTCGTGCTAATAACGCGAAGGTCGCGGGTTCGATCCCCTCATGGGCCACTAAAATTTTTTTTCCATACCTTCTTGATAAATATTAACATTTCTTTCATTTTTGTACATTTAGTCTTGATTGGTCTTGTTTATTTTATTAAACGTTATTTTTTCATATTTGTAAGTGATTTATAAGCTAAAAGCTACTCTGTTCGACCAAATACCGACAGATTTTTCTGGTCTGGGTTCTTAGTAAGTATAACTGACATTAAGTTATTCTTAATAAAGTAATATTTATATTATAATGTGAATATCGCAGAGCAACAAAAAAGTAACATAACTGTCAATTGAGCAGTCGTACATATCAACTCGCTTTTGATCGGAAAAATAAATAGTATTGTAAAATTTATTTATTTCCAGAAATTAAGATTTCCTCCCATAATGCGAGTTTGACAAACAATAACAGAATGTAAACAATAATGGCAATTAATGTTTACTTAGTGAAGAAGGAAATTATTGAAATTATCAACAAAACAAACGAATTGCGGTTTTTTGGCCATAATTTTGTAATTTTTCGATCAATTTAAAATCCGATTACACTACTGTTTTCAGTAAAAAATCCTTTAAAATCACGTGACAGAATGTATAGGGTCATATTGAAATTTTGAAGTTGTACCGGGCCTGATGTACCCTGTATAATTTTTCTCCAAAATAGGTAAAAATTTGAAACTAGACTAAAAAATTTTAAACACGTATTTTTTTTAATTTTATAGTGTCATTGGTTCAAGAGAAATTCAACCGAGCCATCTAAAAAGGACACCCTGTATAATTTATATTTCGCTACTTATACTACACCATCACAATCGGTCTTGTATTGGAAAATACAAAATTAATTGTTATTTGATATTCTTATTCTTTAAGTGAATGATAACGGCTAAACAATCATGTATCATTGATAGAAGTGAATTAAAATCCGTTGATATTGACAGTAGGAATACATATAATAAAAATATACACATAGCACAAGATGAGGATAATCTATGAGATAGTAAAGAATCTAAAAATGTGATGGAAGTGTGTTGTTTATACATACATTTGGAAGCTTACGATCGTCTAGAAATAGACTACCTAGACGCGTTTTGTCGTCCCGCCAAGATTAGGGATAGATGTGTGATAGATTCGATCAAAAAAAAAAAACCTGGAAGATATGCATAAAACTACAAGTTAATTAACATTGAAAATAGAACAAAATATATACAGGGTGCCTCGTAAACAGACAATACTTGAGGAGGGTATTCTATACTTCCCAATTACTCCCTTTCATAACTTTTTTCCATAAAGTACCGTGTATCTCATAAAATCTTAATCTTGCTATATTTTATTACACCAATGGAAAGAGCATTGAAAATCCTATGAGATACTTATTTATATTGTACCCTTAAGTAAACGAAGTACAAAAACCCTTAGAATATAAACTTTCAAGAGGTTCTGAAGTTCTTGTCTAATGTTTACTTTTTATTTTCATTTCTACTTTTTTTTTTTTTAACAGAAGTTTAAAATCTTAATAAGAAATTTTTTAACCGTATTTACAGCTTGTTATTATGGGAAACTTTTCTGTAATCTCCATATCTGTCTGTATTTACAGATCGAAGAAAATCTTAATTAAACTTTAGACAAGAACTTCGGAAAATCGTAAACGTTTATCTTACAAGTAATTTTACATTTTGTTTCCTTAAGGTTACAATAAAACATCAAACGAATCTCACAGGGTTTTTAATACTCTTTTCACTGGTGCAATAAAATTTACAGTAGAATTAATATTTTCTGAGATTTTTATGGGATAAAGTTGTGAAAGGTTGAAGTAACACATAAGCTCAACAAGGGGTTCAAGGGATATCCTGTTTTATTATAGATTATTAAAAATAGTCGATATCATAGAATATTTCAAAAGCAATTAAATAAAAAAAGAAATTATTCAGTCGACATTTTTAGTTTTCTACATTTAAAAAAAATGTATTTTCATATTTCCCGGTTGTTTTCTAGGACCGTGGGTGTAAACCAGGCTCATTTTTTGACAATAGAAATGTACAAAAAACTCTGTTGCCCTGATATTAACATGGGCCATCCATTTTTCTCAAAAAGCTCTTCATGTAAAACAACATTTATCATATCTTTCCCGCCCACGACTCTTGCTAATCGCTTGTCCAAAGTATGCTTCAGCGGGGGTGCCAGTAACATGAACTTTTTTTTAAATAGCAATTTTCAGGGGTTATAAATCTCTCAACTACTGCACTTTAACTATCTTGCTTCCAAAGGGACTTTTCTCTAAAAACTTTACTATCAGATTTGTGTGGGTTTTACTTTTCAGACTTTTATTGCTTTCGTACAAAAGGCGCTTATGTATCTGCGATTTTATTATTGCGATTTTTTTTTACTGTAAAACATCATGGATTCACAAAGCAGAAATAGTGTAGATAAGCACAGACAAATTTTCCTTGAGAAACTGTTGCACCATTTGACGCAGTTATCTCTCGAGCGTTTCTAAAATAGAAAACGCCTAGTAATTTGATTTTCAATACAAAACCCAATCGAAAGGGATTCGTCTGAATTGAATCCAGAGGATATCTAATCAAGGGATCCCCCGTCCTGAATATGAGAGGAATCCTGCTGCAATCCTAATGCTAAAGCTCAAGGCGAACTAGTGCCTCGTGTTTCTAATAAACTCAGGGGAACTTAAATTGATGTAGAGGAACAAGTAAGTTAATACTTATTAAAAGGGAAAATTGCAGCCTAGGGCTTTATAGACTCCCCCTTTCAACGGCATTCACGGACGTTAGTACTAACCATTTGTAACATAAGTGACACCTATGTGTGCACCTAATTATAACTATGTTTTTACACATATGCTGATTGTAAATTAAATTTTACTTTTTAATTAACTTAAATTAATCTTTTTAATTTGTGGAAAGCTTTCTTATTTCTGTTTTAAATAAATTATACCTTCTACTTCTTCCTGTTTAATATTTTATTTATTTTAATCATTTTGTAACTTTAACTGTTTTGGTTATTCAGTAAAATATTTTTTTTAATTGCATACTATTCACATATTATTTTACTATCAATATGTTCGTATAGATGATACAAAGGGTGTTCCCTTGAATGGATGTCAATATTTCAGATTATCCTACATGTCAAATTAGACTAAATGTCCCCATTATCCAAAGTCAAATTCTCAAATGTATTGGGGATATTTCAATTTTCCAGTTATTCCTTTCACAACTTCAATAACCCGCATTTATCAGGAAATATTAATCCCGTCGTAAATTTTATGACACGAATGGAAAGAGCATTAAAAATCCTGCAAATTTGATCGTAGCTTTGAGCAAACCAAATATATATTCATTTAGAAGATAAGTTTTACGAGTTTCAAAAAATACCTGGCTAAAGTTTTCAGTAAGTTTTCCTTTGTTTGATAAAACATATTCAGTGGGTCAGTTATCACCAGTGTAACACGAACGTTTAATAGCAAAAAAATTCATTTTGCTGTTACAAATGATCTAAAAAAATAGTCATTAAAATTTTGAAACTTCTACTAAAACACAACGAAAACAATACAAACTAAAAAAGAAAAACTAGTAAATGATTGAGCATAAGAAAAATCAAAAAGCTTCAAATATTAAATTAAATCCATTGACGGAATTACTTCTTTCAATTAATTATTCTTTTTATCTAATGTCTTGGTTGAGATCAGCCGAAGGTCGTGGATTCGAAACCCACTCATGAAACTAGCTTTTTCATTGTTCAAATTCTTGAAGAATGCAAGCCTGGCATCGTTTCCTGACAAGTTTTGTACACTTAACTTAATTTTTTGAAGCTTTGCTTGACATTACAATTCAACTTTTCTAAAATTTCAAATTAACCCTCTTTAATGTAATTATTTCTGATTTCGAAACTTTTTATTTTATTTTAACCAATAAAAAAATTTTAGACAATGATTTGAAATATCAACTTGTAAAGTAAAATTCCTTTACATTTGAGATTTTATTTAAATATGAAGTAATTTGGTTGATAAAAACTATATAAAAATTAATAACCTACAATTAAAATACAAAATATATCAAGTTAAATATAAAAATAACGGATTCTTTTCTTTAATTTGAGAAATGTAAGAAATTGTGGTCTTTAAATATAATTATTATATATTTTTAAAAATCAAATTAAAAGAAGAATCATATGTTGTTATATTTAATTATATATATTCATTTTAATTAATTCTGGTGTAGTTTTCTTATATGTAATTTTTTTTCAAATGCAGTAATTTTACTTTACGGGCTTATATTTCATACCGTCTTCTAAATGACTTTGAATGGGTCAATTTGTAATTAAAAATGGTTAATTTAAAATTAACAAGGCTAATTTGAAGTTAAGAATGGTTAATTTGTGCGAAAAATCTTTCATTAAAAAATGCTGTTAATTTGACGGAAAAACTCTATATATTTATATGTTTATGTGGTTGTCTGTGTGTGTGTGTGTGTGTGTGTGTGTGTGTGCTCGTACATACAATAACATGTCCTTTTTAAAAAATTAAATTATTCTGTGTGGCTGAAGTATGTTAGGTTCGCAGTGCGCCCTCTAAAAAATATAAATAAATAAAATAAAATAAAATAAATTTATAACATATTGAGTCGCATAAGAAGGAATATTAACAGCCAATCTTTTTTTTTCCTCGAAGCACTGCCTATTTTCTGCGTGAACCACGGGAAAGACATGTATCTGAATTTCCGTTTTTCAATTCCTGACGAAAACATGAACGAAAGATGGCAAATAAATCCGCAACTATTTACAAACGAGAACTGAAAATTCCCATCTTTACTATGTAAACAGACAAAATCAATTGCCAACTCAAAATATTTAGAATAGAATTTGTCTAAAGCTGAGGAAAAGTAGAACGGAATTTTAAAAGATTTTACATTTTGCGCTTCAATTTCAATAGTAAGCACTTACCAGAGGTTTTTTCTGAATTGATTCACAAACATGCCTACTAAAAGTCTGATTCTCAATTTTATTCCACATATTTCACTTTTCAGGTTATTTACACCTTTCACAAATTGATTTCATAATGTCCCTCGTATCTTACAAAATTTTAATGCTTCAATAAATGTGATTACACCAACGGAAAGAGCATTAAAATTCCTATGAGATTCATTTTTTATTGTAACCTTAAGCAGACAAAATCCCTTATACAATTTTGCCATTTTTTTTAGTTTTTGTCTAAAGAATAAATAAGATTTTCTTGGTTATTTGATTTATTATTATTTATTTATATTATTATTTATATAGTTATATTAATCAAATTTAAAAAATCTTGTTATAAATTTAAAAAAATTATATCAAAGTTAAAAAGGATAATTTGAATTCAAGAAGGATAATTTGATGTTAGAAAGGTTAATTAATTTGAATTAAATGAAATTAATTAATTTGAATGAAAATTAATTTGAAGGTAAAAAGTGTTAATTGACGGAAAATGCTACATATACATAACACACACACGTACACAGTATACAGAGTGTATCAGCTTCTATAGTTCACCCATTTAATTCGGAAACGATTAACTTTAGCCAATAATGGTCTTATACAAACCCCAAGTTAATTTTGGCTAAGAATCGCATGATGGGAACATTTGACATAACTTTCTCATCTATTGGGTTGTCCGGAAAATAATGCAGGATTTTAAGTTTTCATTAAAAAAAATCTATATAAAATATTCTGTTTACGTT